GGGGGGAGAGCCGGGCTGTGAGTGTGGGGGGAGAGCCGGGCTGTGAGTGGGGGAGAGCCGGGCTGTAGCAGGCAGGAGTGGGCAGCCCGGGTCCCAGCCTGCCGCTGCCCCTGCAGGGCTGGCACACTGCCGTCACCTGAACACGGTGCGGACCCACCTGTCAGCGCTGGTGCACCACAGCATTATCCCACCTGACCGGCCCCCAGGGGCCTCCGGAGGCCTCACCAAGGACGTGTGGAGCAAGTACCAGAAGGACAAAAAGGTGCCCACCCTGGGGTTCCGGGGCCCCAGGCCGAGGGCTGGGGTGGGCAGGAGTGAGGGCAGCATGGCCCACCGTGGACCAGACGGGAGTCAGGGTAAAATATGGCAGTGGGTATGGCCAACACTATGGAGTGACCGGGTTCCCTGCGGAGTCCCATGCAGATGGGCATGGGGCTGACCCAGGAGGGGACCAGCTGCCTCCTCATCGCCCCATGACTTTGGGCAAAGCTTTGTGTCTCTCCCGGCTGCACTTCCTGCCCCGTAAGGAAGGCGAGCAGAACGAGACCTCATCCAGCTGTGAACCAAGGCATGGGAGGAGGTGGCCACGCCAAAGCAGGCTTTGCCTGGGCTTCAGCAGCCACCACGGCCCATTCTCCATGGGATGGGGCTCACCCACCTGGATCCCCATGCCTGGAGGCTGCACAGTCAAGCTTCGCGGTCCCCCCAGAACTACAAGGAGCTGGAGCTGCTGCGGCAGGTGTACTACGGGGGCGTGCAGCACGAGATCCGCAGGGACGTCTGGCCCTTTCTGCTCGGCCACTACAAGTTCGGCATGAGCAAGAAGGAGATGGAACAGGTAAGGGAGCCTGTCCCGAGGGGCTCGTGAGATGGGGAGCTGCGCAAAGGGATGCCAGGGAGGGGCCCTTGGAAGCCTCAGCCCCTTCCCAGCTGGAAAGAGGTGTGGCAGGGGAAAGCATTAGCAGGGCAGCGCCACCGTCTTCACCCTGAGGCCCATCTTGAGTCTCCAGCTGCCCTAGCTTCTGAGACTCAGGACCCAAGCTCCGGTGCAGGCCCAGCTCCTGAGGAGGAGGCCTGGTGCACCTCCCCCATGGTCCCGGTGTGGTCTGAGTACAGGTGGACGCAGCGGTGGCAGCAAGGTACCAGCAAGTGTTGGCAGAGTGGAAGGCCTGCGAGGTGGTGGTGAGGCAGCGGGAGCGGGAGGCACACCCAGCCACGCTCACCAAGTTCTCCTCCGGGAGCAGCATCGACAGCCACGTGCAGCGCCTCATCCACCGAGACTCCACCATCAGCAACGACGTGAGCCAGACGGGCCCAGGCGGGCTGGGGGTCCCGAGGCCCACCAGCGTTTCATGCACAGTCCTGAGCACCAGCCTGGCCTCTGGGAACGGGTGGGGTCCTGAGAGAGAGGCCTAGTGTGTCTGTGTCTCATTTTCTCCGACTGAAAACAGCTGACTGTGCCTCTGTGCCTTGGCTGCCTGCTTCTCTGGGTGTGGTGGGAATAAGTGAGATAGTGCGTGCTGCTCAGTTTCAGCCAACTGAAGGGCAAGATGGACTTACTGGGACTGAGGGAGGCTCCTTCTCAAGGCTAGCAACGGTCAGCCCTGGGTTCTAATCCCAGATCACTGCAGACAGGATGAATGTCTCCAGGCAAGGACTTCCCGTCTCTGGGTCTCAGTTTCCCCTCTCCACCCATATTCTTTGACTGTAGGGGCTTCCTGAGATCTGGGGGCCTGAGAACACAGGAGCCCGTAGAGTGGCCCCATGGGTGTCGACTGGCAAGATCCCTGCTCCCCCAGGATGTTGCCTACCACTTTATGTCAAGTTCATTCAGAGCAGGGGAGGGGAGCCCGTTCAGAGCAGGGAGGGGAGCCGGTTCAGAGCAGGGGAGGGAGGGGAGCCCTTCAGAGCAGGGGAGGCTGTAGCCCTTTCAGGCATCACTCCTGCCTTTCAGACAGCAAGTACTAAACTATGACTGCTTGGCCCATCCAACACTGATTCAGTTTCATTTTTAAGGACACTTTTGCTAATTTTTTCCTTTAAAATTGCCTCTTTTTTTTTTTGTTTTTTTTGAGACGGAGTTTCGCTCTTGTTGCCCAGGCTGGAGTGCAATGGTGCGATCTCGGCTCACCGCAACCTCCGCCTCCTGGGTTCAGGCAATTCTCCTGCCTCAGCCTCCTGAGTAGCTGGGATTACAGGCATGCACCACCATGCCCAGCTAATTTTTTGTATTTTTAGTAGAGACGGGGTTTCACTATGTTGACCAGGATGGTCTCGATCTCTTGACCTCGTGATCCACCCGCCTCGGCCTCCCAAAGTGCTGGGATTACAGGCGTGAGCCACCGCGCCCAGCAAAATTGCCTCTTTAGATAATGTGTATTCTTGTTACTTTACTAGATCCTTACTAACATTGACAGAAAACGTAAGTTGAGCAAGACAAAGAAATATAACCGGCTAGGTACGGTGGCTTACGCCTGTCATTCCAGCACTTTTGGAAGGCAGAGGTGGGAGGATTGCTTGAGTTCAAGAATTCGAGACCAGCCTGGGGAACACGGCGAAACCCCGTCTCTTCAAAAATGCAAAAATGAGCCTGTGTGGTGGTGTGTGCCTGTGGTCCCAGCTACTCAGGAGGCGGAGGTGGGGGTATCACTTGAGCCATGGAGGTTGAGGCTGCAGTGAGCTATGATCCCACCACTGCAGTCCAGCCTGGGCCATAGAGTGAGACCCTGCCTCAGAAATAAATGAATTTTAAAAAATAGAAAAAAGAAATAGACTAGGCACATTCTCCTTTCCCATGAGCTCTGTTCTTAATTCCCTATTCAGGATCACATTTTCCCTCTCTGTGGCTTTGGGTGTCCAGCTGCTGAGCTCACCGACAGCAGCGGCCTTCTTCGCTGGTAGTATTCAGTGGCCACCAAACTGGCCCTACCCAGCACTTGATGCTTCCTGCCCATAGTAGAAACCACTTTCAGCATCGCTTTCTCTACATGGTCAAAACAGAGAAAGAAAAATCCAAAACATCTCTTTCTGCCTGTGTCTCTTCCTTTCCTGTGTCCTGTCCGTGGTGCTAGACGGTTTCTAGTAGGTCCAATGTTTGCTTTTCCTTCTTACCTCTCGCAGTGCCCGAAGGCTAACGAAACTGAGTAGGTATTGCTACAGAACTTTCCTGTCTGGTCCTGTTGACCATTCAATACTGAAAATAAGGAAAAGCTTGTTCTTCCTAAAACCTCTAGCCTTCTCCCCACCAGGGTGTCCTGGCAGCCACTCCAAAATACTGAGGACGTTCTCCTGGTCTCGGGACTTTAGGCGTTCGTGGCAGGAGACTTAGCTCAAGCTGGCCACTGAGTGCTCCGTCCTCCAGTCCCCCTTCTTCCCATAGTAGCCACAGGAAGACCTGGTGCTGTTCACACAGGCAGGGCTGAGACAGGGTCTTCATGTTTGACCAGAGCCTTATTTCTCTCTGCCTGGTGGCTGGGTCAGAGGCTGGCTTGGTGCTCTGTGGCGACAGTGTTGGAGGCTGTGGTGGGGAGCGGGGTATGGAGTTCTGCACTCCAGCTCCGTTCTGACCTGAGGAGGGGGGCGGGCTGTGGGAAGGTGCTGGAGTGCAGGTAGGCGCCGCCATGTGTTCACCCACCAGGTGTTTGTCTCTGTGGATGATCTGGAGCCCCCGGGGCTCCAGGACCCTGAAGATTCCAGACCAAAGCCTGAGCAGGAAGCAGGAGCCAGGACTCCGGGCACCGCCGAGGTGGAGCAGCAGCATTCGGTGGAGTTTGACTCTCCAGACTCAGGACTGCCCTCCTCTCGCAACTACTCCGTGGCCTCGGGCATCCAGTCAAGCCTGGATGAGGGGCAGAGCGTGGGCTTCGAAGAGGAGGACGGTGGTGGGGAGGAAGGCTCCAGTGGGCCCGGCCCTACAGCTCACACTTTCTCGGGGCCCCAGGATCCCAGCCAGGAGAAGCCTTCTCAGGCCGGAGAGCTGGAGGCAGGGGAGGAGCTCGCGGCTGTGTGTGCGGCTGCCTACACTGTGCGTATAAGTTCCCCAGGCGCTGTTCCCCGTCGCCCCAAGACCCTCCTGCCATCCCAGAGCTGGGGAAGGGCTGGCTGGGTGGAGGGTGGGATGCCCTGTCTGCCCTGGAAGGGAGTTCTGAGCCCATTTCTCGGCATCCCCAGAGGACTGGCCCTGGTCTCTGGGGTCCGTGTTCAGCTGCACTTCTTGGGACATCACCTCCTGCCCCCAGCCTGGGAGGGGCTGCCCAGTCTCATGCCTGAGGGCCTGCCACTCTTCCAGATAGAATTACTGGACACTGTGGCCTTAAACCTGCACCGCATAGATAAGGATGTGCAGAGGTGTGACCGCAACTACTGGTACTTCACGCCCCCCAATCTCGAGAGGCTCAGAGACATCATGTGCAGGTGCATTGCGGTGCGGGGCCCAGGGTGGGGCGGACCCTGCCCCGCCTCCGTTACTCTGAAACGTTAGGTCTGGAAGGTGCCCTGCTTCTCTCTCCAGCTCCTGAATTACACTTGGCTGCCTCTGCCTGAAGGCTCTTTCCCTGAAGTCCCCCTCCCCCACCCCTCTTCATTCTTAGAGGTCTACCAGACCTCAGCTTCAGCAGCACTTCATCAGGAAGCTTTTCCTTACCCCGCCCCGCATACCCAGCATGACAGCCCTGTCTCTCAGGCCTGAAGGCCTTGGGGGCCATGGGTTTTTCCCTGTTGTCTCTCTGTGAGTGGGGTGCACAGTTCATGGCTTAGGGTTGTGGAGAGGCTGACTTCCGGGCAGCAGGTGGCTCCGGAGGCCATCTCCCCAGGGATCCCGAGGGAGGGGAGGGCAGGGCACAGCCCCAGTGACTCTGTCCCTGCCTTCCAGCTACGTGTGGGAGCACCTGGACGTGGGTTATGTGCAGGGCATGTGCGACCTGCTGGCGCCTCTCCTGGTCACCCTCGATGACGGTGAGGGATTGGGGGACGTGGAGGATTCCAAAATGATGCTGGGACTGGGCTGTGTAGGCTGGAGAAGGGAAGAGAGGGTGGCCAGGTCTGGAAGTGCGGGAATGGGAGCTGGCCTGTCCCCGAGTCCCCTGCCCTGTCAGCTTCACGCCTGTCTTCCCTCAGATCAGCTGGCCTACAGCTGCTTCAGCCACCTCATGAAGAGGATGAGCCAGAATTTCCCCAACGGGGGTGCCATGGACGCCCACTTTGCCAACATGCGCTCCCTCATCCAGGTGAGGCTGGTGGCATCCATGGGCACACGAGCAAGCAGTGCTGGGCTCACCCCTCATCCACAGGAAGGCCAGGGAGCATTCCAGAAACACCTGACATGTCAACTTCTTTCATTTGAAAACACATAATCTCAATGTCACAAATTGAGGAGGAGTGTGTGAATGCTCATTCCCATGAAAGCTCTGGCAAATAGTAGGGGTTGCCAATGACATCAAATACCGAAAAAATCGTGTAACTCTAAACACAATACAGCCCAGAGAGGCAGGTGACGGAAGGGGCAGCAGGGAGCAACCCACCCTCTACAGGGAGACGCTGGGAGAGCGCGCCTCGGGGCACAGTGCAGGACAGGCCCGCTGCCAGCTCTGAGGATCCCATGTCCCTGGGCATGAAGGGTGGGTGGTCGCCAGAGAGGCAGCATCGGCTCAGGGCTCAGTCTCTCTCTCTTTTCCCACCCACATAAGATCCTGGACTCCGAGCTGTTTGAGCTGATGCATCAGAATGGAGACTACACCCACTTCTACTTCTGCTACCGCTGGTTCCTGCTGGATTTTAAGAGAGGTAAGAGTTGGGTTGGACCATGGGGCTGAGGCCAGGGGCAGTGAGACATCCCTCTTTCCCAAAGCCAACAGTTCTCAATCCTGACTGTACCTTGGAACCATCTGGGGAGGTTTAAAAACACCACCAGTTTGGATAAGAGAATATTAAAAACTAAAGAAAGATTTTTAAAAAACACCACCAGTACCCTGGGCCCCACCCAGCCCCAGACTAATAACTGTGGCTACCTGGGCCTACGTGTTGTGAAATGCTCACTGACCAGACACAGTGCCTCACGCCTGCAATCCCAACACTTTCGGAAGCCCAGATGAAAGGACAGCTTGAGCCCAGGAGCTTGAGACCAGCCTGGAAACAGCATGAGACCCTGTCTGATTTGCTTTTGTTTTTGTTTTTTGAGACAGAGTCTTGCTGTGTCACCAAGCTGGAATGCAGTGGCACAATCTTGGCTCACTGCAACCTCCACCCCCAGAGTTCAAGCGATTCTCCTACCTCAGCCTCCCAAGTAGCTGGGACTACAGGCAGGTGCCATCATGCCCAGCTAATTTTTTTTTTTTTTTTTTTGTATTTTAGTTGAGACAGGGTTTCACCATGTTGGCCCAGATTGTCTTGATCTCTTGACCTTGTGATCCACCTGCCTCAGCCTCCCAGAGTGCTGGGATTATAGGCGTGAGTCACCACACCTTGCCGAGACCCTGTCTTTAATTTTGTGTGTGTGTGTGTGTGATCTGTCTTTAATTTTTAAAAAAGAAAGAAAAAATTAGGCTGGACGCAGTGGATCACGCCTGTAATCCCAGCACTTTAGGAGGCCAAGGTGGGCAGATCACAAGATCAGGAGTTCAAGACCAGCCTGACCAACATGGTAAAACCCAGTCGCTACTAAAATTACAAAAATTAGCTGCGCAGGCCGGGCGCGGTGGCTCAAGCCTGTAATCCCAGCACTTTGGGAGGCCGAGGCGGGTGGATCACGAGGTCAAGAGATCGAGACCATCCTGGTCAACATGGTGAAACCCCGTCTCTACTAAAACTACAAAAAATTAGCTGGTCATGGTGGCACGTGCCTGTAATCCCAGCTACTCGGGAGGCTGAGGCAGGAGAATTGCCCGAACCCAGGAGGCGGAGGTTGCGGTGAGCCGAGATGGCGCCATTGCACTCCAGCCTGGGTAACAAGAGCGAAACTCCGTCTCAAAAAAAAAAAAAAAAAAAAAAAAATTAGCTGCGCATGGCATGCGCCTACAATCCCAGCTACTCAGGAGGCTGAGGCAGGAGAATCACTTGAACCCAGGAGGTGGAGGTTGCAGTGAGCCGAGATTGAGCCACTGCACTCCATCCTGGGAGACAGAGCAAGACTCTGTCTCAAAAAAAAAAAAAGAAAAAGAAAAAATTAGGCCGGGTGCGGTGGCTCACACCGGTAATCCCAACACTTGGGAGGCCTGCGGCAGTCGAGATGCTCGGCCACCAGCAGGCGCAGTGTGCAGACGTGACCCAAGAAAAGCATGGGCCTTGGTGTGGGGTACAGCACCTCCATTCTTGAGCCAGGCTCTGTGTCGTGGCGAGAATCCCACGACATTGGCCTCTCAAGCTCTGATTCCTCACCTGTCTCCATGTGGAGGCCCATGAGCAGCCGGCCAAGCCAGCCAGTCCCAGCCTTTACCCGCATGCGGCTGGGCGAGGCGAGCGGCGGCCCCTCACTCTCCCCAGAACTGCTGTACGAGGATGTGTTTGCGGTGTGGGAGGTGATCTGGGCAGCCAGGCACATCTCATCGGAGCACTTCGTCCTGTTCATCGCCCTGGCCCTGGTGGAGGCCTACCGAGAGATCATCCGCGACAATAATATGGACTTCACCGACATCATCAAGTTTTTCAATGGTACGAGCTGGTCCAGCCGTCCTGGCTGCCCTTAGTAGGGGTGTGGAGGCATCACCTCTGCCCGGCAGAGTTGCAGGGGTCTCAGGAATTCTGAGGGCCCTTCCCCAAAGGCAGGGATGTCAGGAATCTAACGGAGCAGATGGAGACAGCGGGGCAGTCGGTCACCTCCGAGCCTGCTGCCCTTTCTCTGGGCCTCCTTATAGCTCTCCCCGTTTCCCCCAGAACGTGCCGAGCACCACGATGCCCAGGAGATCCTGCGGATTGCCCGGGACCTCGTCCACAAGGTGCAGATGCTCATAGAGAACAAGTGAGCTGGGCCGGGAGGCACAGCCGTGCAGAGCCTGGACACTGGGCCCTGGGCTCCGGCAGGGAGAGGGGCAGGGCCACCACAGCCAAGACAGCTGTGCCACCACCGACCCCACCTGCTCAGCTCTGTTCCTAACAAAGCAATTGTGAGCCTGGGGTCCGACTCCCGGCACTGCTGACCCCGCAGGGCAAGTCAGGGGCCAGGATGCCCTTGGATCAGGGCCGCGATGGGAGGGGTCAGCCTCAGGGAGCAGCCACCTTGAGGGACACACCTACTCTGCTCCCCTCTCAAACATCTGGGAATAGCCCCACTGCCACCTGCACCCTCAGCCTGGACTGTTGCCCGTGAGTGAACCTGGGCCCATAGGATTAACAGGGGCAATAGTGCCTAGGCCCTGCTTAGCTGAGGTGGCAGAGGGCGAGAGGCTCTGTACTGTGTCCTTTCGGACAGTCCCTTTGCATTCCCAGTATACTGTGTGTGCACCAGCCCCAGCTGGAGCAGCCAGAACTGCTGCTGGTGAGGGCACGTGTCTGGGTGCAGGAGACCTGGGCCTCCTTTGGGCCCCTCCCCTGAGAGTCTGGGGCAGTCAGAAAATGTGGGCCCTGGGTGGGAGCAGCCCACCTCAGCAGCACTGCCACTGCCTTTGGCCACCTGAGGTGCCCCCCAGGCCTCCTGGCTCTGTCCAGTGTACCTCTGCATCTCTGTATGGCCTCACTCCTGCCACCCCACCTTGTGTTCTGCATTAAGATACTTCTCTGAAAACTGCGTGAGTGGCGCTCTTGCCAGTGGATGATCTGGAATGCAGCCGGAGCACTTGCTCTGAGGGTCCCAGGGTGACTGTGTGGGGAACAGTTCAGTCACAGCCTCCTCTCAGGGACAGGCCACAGCTCTAGGGCCGTCCATCTGTCACAGGCATCTGCCACCTCCCTGGGGCTGAGGGAAGCAGGGGATGCATCAGTGTCCCTGTCTGTCCCTGGTGAGAAGCAAGGCTAGCTCTGCCTTCCACATGCTTCTCAGGATGCCAGGAGGCCTAGGAACCCAGAAACTCCCTTGCAGGGGCTGGTACATGGGGGTGCCAGGAAGGGCATAGCTCCTGCCCCCAGGCCTAGGCATGCTGCTTGCTCTCCATCCCCACTTCCTCCTCCACCCCAGTATGTGCTGGCTGGGCCTTGCCCTGGGACCTGGAGGCTCTGCCCTGGGCTGGGGCCTGCCAGCAGCCACCAAAGCCCGGCAGCCTTTCTGCATCTGAGAAACATGACACAGTGCCCCCGGCCCCCTGTACATCCAGCACAGCCCGCCCCACACTGCCCCGGGCACTGCACAGCCTGTCTGGGGGCCAGACCGCCCCACTGCCCATCCTTGTTGTCCATGAGTCCTTGGCCTCCACCAAGCACGTGTGGCCGTTGTGTGCCTGCCCTAGTGACTCAGTGGTTTTGTGAGGAGCAGAGTGTGTATGTTTTTTGCCTCAGAAACTATACTCTTCTGTGTAACAGACCAATAAACAGCATTTGTCAACACTTGAGCCTCTGCAACTGGACATAATACTGTGTGCCTCTTTAAGCTCCACAGTTGGCAGCCCCCAAAGGCAAGGATGGCAGAAAGAACAAAAGTTTCCAAGACAGCGGCACTCCAGCCTCCAGCCTGGGGTGTATGGGCTGGTCAGGAACTCGGGGTGATAGCCAGACCTCAGGTACTCAGTGCCCTTGAGGGGACCTCAAGAGTCATTCTGGCCCCTCCAGCCTGTGGATGAGAGAAGGTCCCTGTCCCAGCCCTACCTCCTGCCTGTCTTGCTGACCAGGCTGCAATGAGAAACTGGGCCTTGACGTGGCCGCTGCAGCCAGTGGTGAAGGAGCCGCCCCCATGGCTGTGGCTCTCTCCCCCTTCAGAGAGGCCTGGATCAGGCTGAGGCTGAGCAGAGCGTCAGGAGTCAGACCCTGCTGAGCTGTGGACTGGCCCGGCTGTGACAGGTCTCCACCTCTTCCCACTCTTCCCCAGCGTGAGCGCTACTGCTTCCATCATTGATGGCTCCAGGGAGAGGACACCAGCCACCCAACATGTTCTCTCATTCTAGAGGACACTGGCTTCCTGGACATTAGTTTCTGTTGTCAACTCACTCAAAGCTGAAGACCCTAGCCCGTGGTCCTAGCAGGCTGAACCTCTCTACATATATTATTTTAAATATATATAGAGAGAAAGAGACAGAGGCTTGTTGTCTCTCCCAGGATGGAGTACAATGCCATGATCACAGCTAACGACAGCCTCAAACTCCTAGGCTGAAGCGATGCTCCCGACTCAGCCTCCCAAGTAGCTAGGGCTACAGGTGCACCACCATGGCTAATTTTCTTTTTTGCGGGGGAAGGTAGAGGCAGAGGCTCACTATGTTGCTCAGGCTGCTCTTTGAACACTGGCCTCAAGCAATCCTCTCACCTTGGCCTCCTGAAGCGCTGGGATTACAGGCTTGAGCCACTGCACCTAGCCCTGAACCCAGCTTTCAGGACAGAACACAGACTCGTGGCCAGAGCTGCCCAAAGAAAGAAAGCAGTTGAGGCAGAGAGCTCTGGGGCCGGGGAACTTGAGAAGCCCTTCAGGGGAACACCCCCCACACCCCAGCTGAGTCTGTTGCCTGCAGGAATCAGAATTCCCTTCGCTGCGACCACCTAAAGGAAATTCACCTAGCCTGGGAGTAACCCAGTTCCTTCACACACTTCCATCCTGCCCACCTCCCCCTGACTAGGGATCCTAGGACCAGAGGCGATCCCACAGCCAAAACGATGGGTCAGCCGTGGGCAGGAAGAGCAAGCAGCACAGTGGGCTCCTGACACACCATCTCAAGGAAGCTTCACACTCTGCAAAGTCAGGTTTTCTCTCACAGAGCAGGAGCTGGTAATGGAAGCACCTGGTTTCATATATATATATATATATATATATATATATATATATATATATATATTTTTATATTTTCTCACCATCTATCTTTTTCTTAAATTTTATCTTTGATGTGGGCTCGTGTTTTTTTTTTTTTTTTTTGGATGGAGTTTCGCTCTCGTTGCCCAGGCAGGACTGCAATGGTGCAATCTCAGCTCACTGAAAACTCTGCCTCCTGGGTTCAAGCAATTCGGCCTCAGCCTCCTGAGTAGCTGGGATTACAGGCATGTGCCACCTCACCTAGCTAATTTTTTATTTTTAGTGGAGACGGGGTTTCTCCATGTTGGTCAGGCTGGTCTTGAACTCCCGACCTCAGGTGATCCACCCACCTCGGCCGCCCAAAGTGCTGGGATTACGGGTGTGAACCACTGCGCCCAGCATGGGGGGGTGTCCTTTGAGTACAGCTTCTTCCTAAAGATTTAGTGACAGCCCTCAGATGACAGCCAAGTCATCACTGCCAGGGCAGGGTCTTCATCTGTGTTCCCAGTGGGCACAGAACCTGGCACTGAGTGTGCACCCAGGAAGGGTCAACCCTAATCCTACCCCTTCCCTAAAGCGGCACTAGTAGGCCAATGGAAGTGACCCAGCTCTTCCGGGAGCTACCAGCAGAGGGAGCCCGCGTCTCACAAGTGAAAAGGGCAGGCGCAGTGGGGAGGGCTGGATTCAGAAGTTTCTTTTTAATTTTTAAAACATTTTTTGAGACGGAGTCTCGCTCTGTTTCCCAGGCTGGAGTGCAGTGGCACGATCTTGGCTCGCTGCAGCCTCCGCCTCCCGGGTTCCAGCAATTGTCCTGCCTCAGCCTCCTGAGTAGCTGGGACTACAGCCACCACACCCAGTTAATTTTTGTATTTTTAGTAGAGACAGGGTTTCATCATGTTGGCCAGGCTGGTCTCAAACTCCTGATCTCAGGTGATATGCTTGCCTCGGTCTCCCAAAGTGTTGGGATTACAGGTGTGAGCCACCATGTCTGGCCTGAACGTTCTTGAGGTCAACCCTTCTTCAGAGAACACAAGACATTGTGGCAACCACCTCCTCTTCCTCAAGGATAACCCCTAACCAACCACCTCAGGTAGAGACGGAGTCAGCTTTGCAGAAGTTTAAGACCAACCAGAACTGCCATTTTCAGAGCTGCCTGAGGACTTGCTGAGCATACAGGATTGAAGCAGGTGATCTCACCACTACTGCTGGGTTTCGCTACAGGCCTGTGCCTTCTTTTGCAAGAAAATGACCCAGATGCTGCAGACTAGCAGCTCCAGCTCGGGTTTCAGTGCAGGTTTATTTCGGTTTTATACTTTATTCCAGGCAAGTGCTTATTACATGGATAGTATTCATGTCTCAGTAACTGAAGTCTCAGAGCATGAACAGCCACTAGAATACATTGTTCAATAGTAAAAATACAATATGTACAAAATTAGGGTTTTTGTAGTTTTGTTTTTTTTTCCCACACAGCAGATGTATCCAAACACATAAAAATCTCTACAGTCTGGGGTCGCTACAGTTTATATTTCAGGGAACAGAGACACAGTGACCGAGTCCTCACTGTAAACAAGGGCCACCTCTTTGGGGGGTTGGGGGCAGGACCCTGGGATGGGGGGAGAAGCAGCTGTTTCTGGAGGGAGCGGGGGTTACAGTGACCCCCCCAGTTACCCTCCAGGCATTCCCTGCCTTCTTTGGCCCCCCCAAGGAACCAACCTCCCCCTCTCCCCGAGGTAAGGACTCCCAGCCAGTGAGCCACTCTGAACATCAAAATGTAAAACACGCATGAGAGGTAAGATGTATGTGTGCGCGCGCGCACACGCGTGTGTGTGTGTGTGTGTGTGTGTGTGGCCCAGGCTGGAAGGGCTAGGGAGGGAGGGGCAGGCGGTCCCACAGGGTGAGGACAGATGCGGTCCTGACAGCTCTCAGGGGGAGGCGCCCAAGGAAGGGCCAGGTGGTGGCTGCCCACTTGGACACACAGCATCACAGCGTTCACAAACGACAACAAAAACAACAGCAACACCCATCGTCACCAATCTGGACATAGTCATTCGGCACTAGATTTGCAGGCCCCCACTGCTGGGGGACAGGGATGGGGATGGGCAGCGGGTGGATGATGAGGTATCTGTGCAGGCCCAGGGGCCACTGGCCTCAGGATGCAGGGAGAGGTGGGCAGGCTGAGGGAGGGGCAAGCTCCATGATGCTGTTCCGACTGCCCTGTGGGTCTGGCCTACCACCGCTGTCACAATGGGAACAGCAAAGCTGGCTCTCCCAGAGCCGAGGGTGTGGTGGAGGTGGCTGTGCTGGGGTGGGTACAGGGCTCAGCCTCTGAGGGTGGTGACCTGGTTTGTAGCTGTCCCTTTACCCACACCAGGAGAGAAATACGAAAACAGTCCCCTGGAGGTCTCCAGGACCAGGAAGGAACGGGAAGGGAATTCTTAGCTGTCTAAGGATTCTTCATTTCAAGAGAAAATCTACTTGGGACCTTTGCTGACCTCCTCCACACCTCCTCTGTTGCTGCACTCCAGGAAATCCTCAACTCTGTCCCCGCCTGCCCAGGCCCCTGCCCCAGCCCATCAGTGCGAACTTCACACCCAGGGACACTGGCTTCTTCCCGCTACACTGAAAGGCCACTGGTGAGTGTGTGTCCAGGTGGGGAGCTGAGCATGCCTGACACAAGGCCACTTGTAATAAACATCCACATACAACAAGAGGCCGAAGCAGGCTGCCCAGGCAGAGGCAGGGAAAGCCACGCCCTAAGACAGAGCCCCTGACTCCTCACTCCACCAAGGACCTTGACCCAACCAAGGACCTTTTCTCAGAGAAAAGTGGTATGGCTCAGCAGCCCCCAGGGAGAGCCTGCTCAAAAGTGCCCCTGGAAAAGTGGGGTGTTGAAGGAATGGCAGGACAGAGGCAGAGGGGCTGGGCAGAAGCAGCCCTGGCTCCGCCCTCTCTCTTCTGGATAGGTCCCAGGGTTTGTCTGGGGCCAGGCTTAGGGCTTGGCTGGGCCCCTGGGTTTTTTACCTTCCTGATGCCTCAATGATGTGGCTTCTAGGCACATGGAAACAAGACCAGATGCTGGTCCATGTCTCCTGAGCTGTAGGGGGCGCCCAAACTCACAGACCACCAGGCCCCCCTGTCCCTTGGAGGAGTGCCCAGCACTCAGCAAAGGTCAGAGGAGCAGCGGCCAAACGCAGGACAGTGTCCCTCTCTGCTGCCTTCTGGAAGTCAAGAGCCAAGCCCAGGGCTGGGGACTGGGAACGGAGGTGGAGTGGCTCTTCTCCCATCCAGACTCAGGCTGCAGGGAACGGGGAAGGGGACAGGACAGCCGAGTCCCTCCTCCACTGCAGCCTGCCCTGACGGGGTCCAGAGCCCAGTGGCAGGGGTTGGGTTGGGGGCACAGGAAGCTTGGCAGTGGCTGGGTTTGGTTTATTGTTAGTAGAGAATCATTTTAAGTCGTTTCTACGGTAACGAATCACAGTGACTGCAACTGGGTCAGAGAGCCCCAAGCTGGGGCACCTGCCTGTCCAGTAGGACTCCAGACCAGCCACTTTCTATGATCTGTCACCTGTGCTCAGAGTAGGGCCCCTCATCACCCCAGTCCACAGCTTTCTGGGCCAAGTTCTGCTTCCCCCATTTCCCCTCCAAAGGCCTAGGAAGAGAACGCTGAGGATCCGGAGAGCCGGGGCCTGGGCCACCTCACCAGACAGCAATAGCAGCAGCAGCACAGGAAGGCGGGGCAGGGCAGGGAGAAGTCAGGGAGCGTGATGTCCACATAGCACTGGTTTCCGAGGACAGGGAGGGGAAGCAGGAGGGCGAGGGAGCTGGCACCGGGCTGGGCAGGCGACACGTTCCACCAGAGTGTCTCAAGTTTTCTCTCTCAGAGTCATTTTACCAAGTCCTAGTGCAGCGGGGTAGCCCCCTGCCCTGTGCCCAACTCCCTGGTGGCCCTTCCCTCCTTTGGCTCAGAGTCTTTGCACCCCCTTCCCCTAGGAGGCCTGGGGGTGGGTGTTGGGGGGGAGGGCCTGGGCCTGGCTGGAATGTGTGGAGCTAGTGGGTGGGAGAGTAGGGGACGGGTCCCCCTCCCTGTCCCCACTGAGGGCCTCTGAGTGGCCTCATCCTCAAGCCAGCTTGAGCGTGCTGACCGGGAAGGAGGGCATGGTGACCATGGTCACAGGGTTGAGCACGGTCTGGCCCACCAGCTGGGGGTGGTGTACCACCTGTGCCCCCACAGCCGGCTTTGCCATGACAGTAGCTGGGGGCCCCAGGCCGGCTGTGCCGTTCACTTGCTGGTGCGAGAGGGTGTGGGCGATGTGGCTCACGGCCACGGGCTGGCTCACTGCCACGGGCTGTGGGTACAAGGGCAGCTGGGAGCCCAGGTGGGCCACGTGGTTGAGGGTGGCAGGGTGCACTGTGATGTGGCCAATGGGGGGTGTGGCAGGCGCCAGCTGCACAGCAGGGCTGGGGGCTGAGGGGGCGATGTGGGCGATGTGCTTGCCGCCCGGCCCCTGCAGAACGTGGTTCACAGTCTGGATGACTGAAGCATGGGTGGTGGCTGTGTGGGCGATGACCGTGGAGCCGCCCCCAGCCGTCGCCACCAGGTGGGCCGGAGCTGGTACCAGTGTCTGGGCAGGGGCAGCCGGTTGGGGAGGAGGGGCTGGCAGAGGGGTCTTTTGCTGTGTCTGCGGCTGCTGCACAGGGAGGTGGGCGGGAGACAGGGCCACGGAGTGGGGGTGAGGGTGTGGGTGTGGAGGCAGAGGCGCAGGGGTGGTGCTGGGCGGTGGCACGGTAGCCTTCAGCAGCTCCGGCTGGGGACGATGGCTCAGCTTAGGTGGGCCCAGGCCCGCCCGGTCCTCCTCCATATCCTCGTCTATGTTGTCCTCACCCTCTGTGGGGGAACACGGGGCAGGAGCAGGTCAGAAGGGCTGGGGAAGCAGGCGGCTGGAGGCGTAGATGCTGGTGGGGGCGTGGGGATGTGACAGGGCTGGGTCAGGGTCCATCTTTTCTAGTAGGCAAGAGCCTGGCCAGGGAGGCTGGAATTTGAGGTGTGACACCTGAGGGCTGTGGGGCCAGTGCAGGGGCCGGGGCTCACCAGAGGCGGTGGAAGTGGAGGCCTGGTCATCCTCGGGCTGGCCCGTCTGCCGCAGCACACGGTCGATCTCCAGCACGTCCATCCACTGGCTCAGCTCGTGCTTGAGCTCGGCCAGCCGCTGTTGCGTGGCAATCTTCTCCCGCGCCAGCCGCTCCATCTCATGCTCGTATTCTTTCTCCTTCCTCTTCAGGGACTGGGGCACAGAGTAAGGGACAGCAGGACACCCTGAGCAGCAGCCTTGGGGCCTGTAGCCCCCTAAAACCTCTCCTTATTCAGCTGGCCCACAGAGACAAGTTTGTGGCAACCAGGGGGCTCAGCCTGACGGAGCTGCTAGAGACCACGCCTGTCTTGGTCCATGCCCCTGCCAGCGAGGCCCAGCGTCCCAAGGAGTGTGGGCTCTTGAGACAGCCCCCCCACCCCTACTGCCAACGCAAGCACAGCCAAGCATGCGGAGCCTTCCCCGTCTTCCACACCAACTTGTCCTCAGGGGCTTCTCCACCTCTTGCCCATCCCTCCTCCAGCAGCCTGTCCACTTTCCACACTTCTGCCGAGACTGTCCTCCACAGAACCCAGGACGCTGCGCTTCCACCTCCATGTTCACTTGTCTCCCTGGTAACTTCGATACCCTTGGAAAATGACCCACGAGGTAGTGACACGACCCTGCCCCATCGCATCTCCAGGACTTGCCTTCTTCCTGGCTGCTGCCCGCACCTGCTCGGGACCTCCTGGGCTATTCTCCACCTGCCTGTGCTGCCTGTCGACAAGGCTCCACTTACATGCTGCTCCTCGCCACCCTGCCACTGCCCTCCAGACTCCCTGGGTGGAACAACCCCCAGGCCTAGGAATGAGCACCCCTCTACACCTGTACTTGGGCTGATCCATGAGAAATGGCTCTTGTGTCCCATGACCCAGCTCCCCTCCACACCCAAAGTCTTTCCAGTGCTTCCGACCTGAAGCTTCATCAACTCCACTCTTTTAGTCTCACATACCTCCCTGCTGGCAGCTTTTCACTCAGGCATGTCATGACCACTTGTCTACCAGCCAACCCCGACACGTGTGTCCCTGCTGCCTCCTGAGTCCCTTTCTTACCTGCTCTTGAGTGCCTAGCTTCCCAGGCTTACAGGTGCAGGTGCAGGGCCTCGGGCTCTTCACACACACCCCTCGCCAGACAGCCTTGATTTTCCTCTCTGAACCCCATGTGCCCTCATCACACACAGATCCTCCTCCCTTCACCCTAGATCTTATCTGCCAGTGCCCCAAGACCACATCTGAGCCCTCCTACCCCACTGTCCTTCCCTATCCCACATCCTCCTGCCTCCCAGCCCTTCCTGGCACCTGTACCATTTTTTCCAGGCTGGATCAGATTTGGGGTAATTTTAATTTTATTCCCCTCCTTACTATCCCCCAATTTTTTTACTAACTTTTTTTTTTTGAGACGGGGTCTCGCTGTCACTAGGCTGGAGTGCAGTGGCGCAATCTCAGCTCACTGCAACCTCTGCCTCCCAGGTTCAAGCGATTCTCCTGCCTCAGCCTCCCAAGTAGCTGGGATTACAGGCGCCCACCACCACACCCAACTAATTTTTGCATTTTCAGTAGAGACGGTGTTGGTCAGGCTTGGTCTCAAACTCCTGACCTCAGGTGATCTGCCTGCCTCAGCCTACCAAAGTGCTGGGATGACGCGTGAGGTACCTTGCCTGGCCTACTGGTGTTTTATCTTTGATTCTCCTTCAGTCCCTTCCGCTCCTTCCCCCCCGCCTGCCCCGGTTCTCATCTTTCTTGGTCAACACCTTTTCTTGCTTCTGTCCCCTTTTCTCCCCATATCTCTCACTTCCCTCCAACATGGTGGGGGGGGGCAATGGTGTGGAGGAGCCTCAGGCCTGAGACTCCATCTGCTCTCCTTCCTGGAGACCAAAGGCAGGCAAGAGAAGGGGGTGGCATCTCCAGCCTCCCAGCACTGAGGAAGAACGGGGCTCTTCTCACTCCACCCCTCCCTTTCTCCTCTGCCCCCAGAACTGGAGCACTTCTGGGTGGGGCAGTGGGTCCCAGATCAGCTCACACTGAGAATGTAAGAACTGCAAATAAAATTTCTATGAAGTTTTGTGTCTCAAAAAAAAACAAAAAAAAAAAGATGGGCTGAGATAAGAAGAGCCCCATCTGACTGTACAGGAAATGGGAAGCTGTCAGGTAAGACTTCATCAGGACTGGCTCACACAAAGTATCTCATGTATATATGTTTTGTCTTTCCACCTCAACACACTGTCCCTGTCCGAGCTGTGAATGAAGGTGAGGTGGCTGCATAGTCAGTTTACATCGCAGAGTTCACGGTGGCCAGGAAGAGCTATGTACAGTGTGCTGGCTCGGCCTCAGGTGAAGGATCTTGAAGGGTTCCTTCCCACCTCGGTCCTGTCCCTCCCCGCATCACAGGGAGAATCACAGGAAACCCATTTTCTCCTGCTTTCATCCCCTAGGGCAGAATCCCCAGCCCCCAGGTACTGGTCCGTGGCTAGTCAGGATCAGGCCTGCACAGCAGGAGGTGAGCAGCGGTGGAGCAGGACCACCTGAGCACAGCCTCCTGTCAGAGCAGCGGGATATTCAATTCTCACACGAGCACAAACCTGAGTGAACTGTGCATACCAGGAGTCTAGGTTTTGTGTGCTCCTTAGGACAATTTGACTAATGCCTGATGATGTGAGATGAAACAGTTTCATCCCAAAACTTCCCCCACTTTCCCCACATGGAAAAGTGATCTTCCTCCTTGCCAAAAAGGTTGGGGATCCCTGTGCTAGGAGAGGAGCCATTTTGCTGCTTTGTAGCACCTTTTCCTGACTGGGCCTGGCAAAGTCTCCAACCCCACCCACCAGTGAGGCCAGCTTCCACACCCCCTCCTGCATGCATTTCTGCCCTCACCAGGAAGAGATGTCTAATCACCAGTGCCTGCAACACATAACCCAGACAGACCATGTCTGTCCTGGCCTGAAACATGGCAGCCTGACACTTCCGATGCCAGTCCCAGGCCACACAGCTCACTTCGTCATTCTGGCTTTCACTGCTTCTCCCCATTTTCTGCTAAGAAGACAGTAGGAAACTCCCTTGCCCCTACACACACACACCTGTGTGGCTTTTCTTTTTGGAGACAGAGTTCCACTCTGTTGCCCAGGCTGGAGTGCACTGGCACAATCCCCGCCCACTGCCACCTCCATCTCCCAGGTTCAAGTGATTCTCGTGCCTCAGTCTCCTGAGTAGCTGGGATTACAGGCACACACCACCATGCCCAACTAATTTTTATATTTTTAGTAGAGGCAGGGTTTTGCCATGTTGGCCAGGCTGGTCTTGAACTCCTGACCTCAGGTGATCCACCTGCCTCAACCTCCCAAAGTGCTGGGATTACAGGCGTGAGTCACCACACCCAGACTGTGTGGCTTTTCACCGGCTCTACTCGAGTGGCAAGGGCTGCATGTGACATCCGATAAGGCCATGTCAGCAAAGGCCATAGGTGAGTCAGGCCTCACTTGAACCCTGCTGCTGGGGGCTGGAAGCAGCGGTCCTGAACTCTACTCAGCTGTGGGTAGGATACATATCCGGACCAGGCAGTAACATGGGTCAAAAGCTTCCTCTTCTCACCTAGCCCCTGCAGTTTCCCCAGGGTGTAACGTTAATCCACATTGCTTCGTTCTAAACCCATTTCCTTTCTGTGATTACCTGGATGCCCAGTTTGGTCCCTGTCTATTCTTCTATCTGTCTCCTTTGCCGTGGCTGTCTTCAAATCTCTGACCGCCTCCAAGCCACTTACTGTGGGTTCTGGCTGGAGACCACGGCCCTCCTCCCGCAGCTTCCTGCTCTCAGCATGCAACCAAATCCCGGTCTCCGCAGCCCCACCGGTCTCTCCAGGACCAACTCTCGACTCCAGTGCGCGCTGCTGACCGCCTCTGCGTGGCAACCTTCCTGACCACGTTTTTGTTTGTTCTTAGAGACGGAGGTCTCACTCCGCGGCCCAGGCCGTCCTCGTCCTCGTCCTCGTCCTCCCCCGGGCTCAAGCTGCCCTGGCCTCCCGAGCTGAGCCACAGCGCCAGACGTTTATTTCCGAAAAGTCATCCTGTTCCCTGCTACTGGAGAAACTGGGGTGGCCCCTGGGCTCCCGGGCTGCACGTGGCCTCGCCCCACCCGGACTTATCCTGCAGGTCTCAGCTCAAAGGTCCTTCCCTCAGGAACGACTTTCCTCCCTCCCCACAACAGATCCCGCTGCCCGGTCCCTGTTAGGCCCAGACGGCAGTTTTCCGCAGTGACTTGTTCACCATCTACTGCAAGACAGAGCCTGGGAGGGCGGAGACCCCGGCTTTTTTACTTGCTCGCCACCATCTGCCCAGAAGCAGACTTCGCTAAAACCTCCTCAATGAATACATGAATAAATGGTTTGTGGACAGGCCTCTGAGTTTTCCGCTTCTGTGACCAGCACAAGAAAGTGTCCCTTCTGGACAGCCTGGGGCCCACCCCGGCTCCTACTACACGGGGCCTGGCCCCTCAAGAGCTTCCTTCTGCGGCTGCCGCTGAGTCTCCTTCCAATTCATGTTCAAACCCACACGTTACGCAAGGCGCCCTCTGCAAGCGTTATCTGCAAAGAGGAACTCAGCCTGCCATCCTTCCTATTTCTCAAAAAATAAGTGAATGTCGGGAGTGCCGCGAAGCGTCTGCACGGACACCCTCAGCCCCGAGACTAAACTACAACCTAGCCCTCGTTCTGCAAATCCCTCCAAGAAATCCCTCCAAAGCCACCGGCCAGTGGCGGCCTCTGGGCTCCTCTCCAGCTCCGTGCCGCGACGCCCCGCCCAGAAGCACGCGCGCACCCACGCGGCCGCGGCTTCCCCACGTCACCCCCACCGGCCGCCCCGCCCCCGCGTCTCGGAAGCACCGCCCCCCACCCGCTGCAGCCAATCCGCGAGCCCCGCCCCGCCCTCCCGGCTGTCCGGAAGCGGCCTGGAGGCGCGCCAGCCCCGCCCCCTGGCCGGGAAGCCGGGCGGAAGGGCGCGTTCGCGGGAGAACGCCTCTGCCCCTCCCACAGCAAGTCAGGCTCCGGTTACCTCAGGGCTGTGACCCTGCGATCGAGGCCGGGGGAGGGGCGGTGCCCCGCGGCCGGCTCCTCCGGCGCTGGACCCTCCTCACCACCCCTCCACAGGGCCCGTGACGCCGCGTCTATCCCGGAGCTTCCTCAGCGGGTGCACAGGGAGAGTCCCGGCTCGCCGCCTCCGCCCCACGCGGGCTGGCAGCCCCGCGTCGCTCCATCCCCAACTGCTCCGCGACCGCCCGCCCATCCCCCACAGCCTCTGGCCCGGCGCGCGGAAGCCCCACCGGTTTCCAGGGAAACCGAAGCTCAGGCGGCCATGGCAACTGCCTGACGTGGCGGCGTCCCCGGCCCCAGCGCTGCAAAGGGAGCGACGCCCAAAGGGAGGCGACGCACGCCGGGAGGGCCCCGAAAAAGGGACCCCTCTCTTGTTAGCGCAGAAGGAAGGAAAGCGTGACGTGTTTCAGCTCGGCGGCCCCGGGGCTGTTTGCCGCCCAGTCAGACCGCAGTTTTCCCCGCCCCAGGCGTAACCCCACACTCGGGCCGTGGCGCCTCCACGCGCGCCCCGAAAGGACCTTCCTCCTCCGGGGTAAACGGGGCTTGCCCCGCGCCGCAGCGTGGACGGGGACCACACCCAACCCTCCCCGCAAATAGCGACAGACAGGCGGAATCCCGGCTCCCCACGCCCTTCCCACCCGCAGCTGCACCAGCACGCGCGAGGCGGGAGCCGCCACCGGGACTCGCCCCAGCCGTCACGGCGCGCGCCTCCAGGCCCGGGGGATACCGAGGCTGCGGGGGCCGCGCAGGCAGCGGGGATCGGGAGAGGCGGGGGAGGGGAGCCGCGCCCTCCTCTGCGCACGCGCGCCCTTCTGGGCAGGGAGCCCCGCTGACGTCAGCCGGGCCATGTGCTCGACGCCCGCGTGGAGGCGGGAGGGAGGCGGGGGGAGCCGCCGGGGCGGAGGGCGGGGTTGGGCGGGGCGCGGCCGGGGAGGGGCGGCGGAGGGCGGGGAAGCTGGCGCCTCGTCGGCCTCCGGGCCCCATACCTGGATGTACCGCAGCGCCGTCCGCAGCACGCTGAGATTCGACGTCTTCTTGTCATCCACGTTGGGGATGTTACGCTTCAAGGTCTCAAAGCACTCCTTGAGATGGGCCCTCCTGGGGAGGGGGGGGGGGGGGGGGGGGGGGCGGGGGCGGGGGGAGACAGGGCTGGGGAGCTGGGGCCGCCGGCGGCGGGGCGGGGCCCGGGCCGCACACACACCTGTTCTTCTCCAATTTGTTGTGGACCTCTCTGGTTCCAATCCTGAAACCCAGACAGACAGGAGGCTCAGGGAGGAGGACCCGACTAGACGGGCTTCTTCACCCACACCGCCACCCCCCAAATTTCCACGGGCTGTCCCCAACTTTGTCATAAAGCAGAATGGGAGATGTTTGCCATGTGCCATCTTATGCCCACCTCCGGGAGGGCACATCTGTGCTCATAACCCTCACCCTCCATTCCACCAGGAGGGAAACATGAGAGCTCCTGGGACTCAGAAGCAGCCAGTGGACCCCGGCCCTACAAGAGGCTCATACTCTGTCCAGAGGCCTGGGAATGCCTAAGCCTTAGCCCTGGAGGGCGTTAGAAAACAAAGAAGCCTGGGAACGGGGCAATGGGGCATTCCTTCCCAGGACAGAGATGGGCACAGTGAGAACATGTTCAAACACAGGGGGCACCTCTAGGCTGGGGAGGCAGGACACACTTCTGAAGCCCCAGCCGGAGGGCCACCTTCTCTTGCACACACAACCCAGTGGGTGGCCAGCTCTCCTCTCCATCCCACCAGCAGGACTCTGCTACACCCCACTCACCCCCCGGGCCTCTTCTTCTGTTCGCTGGATTTGACTTCTTCAGCTGGTGCCAATTTCAGGGTCCCAAGCGTGGGTGGGGGTGGCTGCTGAGGGGCCAGCTGGGGCTGGACTCCAGGGTGTGGCGCTATGGTCAGGATAGGCGTGGGGAGGGGCTGCAAAGGCTTGGGGCTGCCAGTGGGTGGAATGGTAGTCTTCGAGTCCGGCAGTAGGGGAGCAGGGGTGGGCACCTGTGGCCTGCTGGGCAGGGGAGCAGGCTCCTTAATGCTGAGTCCAGGGGTGCTGACCAGGGCTGGCTGACGAGGCACCAGGGGCAAAGGCTGGGCTGTGGGGGGCAGGGGTGGGGGTGGGGGCAGCGGCTGAGGGGAGTTGGTCACCACAGGAATAGGAATGACAGTCAGTGGGGCAGGGGTGGCAAGTGCCGGAGGGGGTGCCGGCGGTGGTGCTGGCGGGGACAGAGGCAGGGGTGGCGCCTCAATGCGGGGTTCCTCCACAGGAAGGGCATGTGCCAGCCGGGCCAGGCTGTTGGCCTTCTTCTGCTCCTGCTCCCGCTCCCGCTCCAAGCGACGCCGCTCCTGCTCCTCTATGCACAGAGAACACAAGAGGGGGTCTCAGCGGGGCCACAGCCTGCCCCGTCCTCCAGCCCTAACTTGGCCTCTGACCCCAGCCCAGCCAGGACTCAGTGACACCTTTACTCTGCGAGACACCACAAATAGCCAACCAGTTCAGCCAAGCACAGGGAAAGCGCCGGGGCACAGCAGCAAACAAACCAAGCAGACCTGGTCCCTGCCACCAGGGAGCAGGAAGACAGGAATGGGGGCCGACAGTCCAGGCTGCGGCAGGACAGACGGCCATGGAAGGGTGGAGCAGAGCTGTCAGAGGGTGCTGGGCCTGCCAGCCTGCACGGTGGGAGCAGCAAGGGTCAGGAGCTACATGGCCAAGGTGGGCAAGACGGGCATTGCCCTGGCCACCCAAGACTTCACACTGGAGAAGGGGGTGTGCTGAGAGCCCAGCTCCCGTGGAAGGCCTCAAACAATGTTTACCAAGAGTCTTCTAGAGGCAAGCAGTGCCTGCATGGCACATATGAAGTAAATGAAGCTGACAGGGCAAAGTGATTTGCTGTGGGTCCCAGCAAGCCTCCTGACACCTGGGGGCCACTTGCCATGCTCACTAGGAAGTGCCTCGCACTCACAGTCCCTGGATCCTCACAAGAGCCCCATGTTACATCATAGGCAGGAGAGGGACGTCACCCTCATTTCACAGAAGCAGAAATAGCCCAGGACTCCTGAGTCCCAGGCTAGATCCTAATGGCTCTGTTTTCCTCAGGGGTCATTCAACAAATACACTTCATCCCTCTCTGACCCTTCTCATGGTATAACTCATTTCTCCCAAATTGCCGCCATCCCACCACCACCTGCAACACCAGCATGCCCTGTCCTCCAGGCCTAACACATCCTCTGACATCCTCAGTGACACCCCACTCAGCCTGAGACACCACAGATACCTGACCAGTCCAGCTGGGCAGTGAGGAAAGTGTACCTGCCTGGTTCTGGGTGAGAGAGGACAGGTGAGAAGGAGGTACAGCAGCAAATTTTTCTCCCTAACAAGAAGGGGCAGAGGCAGGTAGAAAGGAATGCTGGGGTCCGGTGCTGTGGCTAACGCCTGTAATCCCAGCACTTTGGGAGGCTGAGACAGGTGGATCAGGAGTTCAGGACTTCAAGACCACCCTGGCGAACATAGTGACACCCCATCTCTACTAAAAATACAAAAATTAGCTGGGCACGGTGGTGCATACCTGTAATCCCAGCTCCTTGGGAGGCTGAAGAAGGAGAATCACTTGAACCCAGGAGGCAGAGGTTGCAGTGAGCTGAGATTGTGCCACTGCACTCCAGCCTGGGCAACAAGAGCAAGACTCTATCTCAAAAAAAAGAGAAAAGAATGCTGGGCACTTCAGTGGGGGCAGAGCAGGGCAATGGACCCCACCATCCATTACTCCTCCCACCTTACTGCTCAGTATCTCTGCTGAAAGCCCAGCAGGACGGCGAGGCCCACTCAGGAGCTGGCTTCCAAATGGGGAAGGGGAGGCCCCTCCATCTCAGCCTTCCCCATCCTCCCACAGGTCCCACCATTCTGGTTCCCTGGCTACCAGGCTGGCCCAGACCCTTGGAGTATGCAACCCCCCGGCTAGGGAGCCTCGGGACAAGCAGCCCACTCCTCTGGCCCCAGATGCCCCACTCTGCTGACAGCCTGGGGTGGTGGACACGCCCAAACACCAGGGCAAGGGGTGGCTGCAGTGGCGGGGGGGAGGTAATGGGAGTCAGCTAAAGCCCCCTGGGGAGGAGGGCACCCACCTCCCACACTCTTACTGGCTCAGAGGCCCCAGAAAACCGAAGGCCTTAGGCCCCAGTGACCAATCAACAACTGGAGTGTGAGCCAGGCCTGCTCCCAGCCCCACCCTCCCACAGAGGGAAGACTCCGAGGAGGAAGTGGAGGGGGGAAGTGTCCCGGGAGGGGAAGCCTCACTGGTTTCCCAGGGCTGGGCCAGCCAGCGGACCTCCGCCAGCTTTCCCCAGCCCTTCGGTAAGGGGCGATGCCAGGCTGGTGCAGGCCTGCTCCAGTGCAAGGAGGCCCTGCTATCCAGGCTTAGGTTACAGTCCGGGAGAAAACCAGCCCTGCGCTCCGTCTTCCCACAGGTTTCCCATAGGCGTGCTGGCCATGCAGCCGGCTGAGTTCCAGTGACAGGGCCCTTCTCAGGATCAGCCTCAGTTGTCCCCAGTTTCCCCCAACCCCAAGACAAGGCTCTGGATCCCAGGGCCCAACAGCCCACACCTCTATGCCTTTGGCTGAGACAGACCTAAATTCTCATTGGCTTTGGGACAAGTGCTCCATTCTCCCTAAGCAGAGGGACAGTCAGGGCGGGGTGCTCCCTGAGTCACAAGGACAGGTGGGACCCTAAGAGCAGGCCAACCCCATTCCCCATATTTTAAATCAGCCCCAGAGCTCACCTGGGAGATAGCAACCTCCTTCTCACCTGCCCTCTCTCACCCAGAGCCAGGCAGGCACACCTCGAAGGTGCCAGGAAGGACCCAGTGATACCCGGAGCAGCATGAAAAAGCTCCATGGGTGGTGAGGAAGAGGAGCTGCCTGGCCAGATCCAGCCCACCAGAGCTTCCTGCCCCTTCACCCCCAGCAGTGACCCTCCCTTTGCACTGGAGAACCGCCAAACTGGTGGTATCGGGTCCCCTCTCAGGAGCAGCCTGTGCTTTGGCTCCTTAAAAGAATGTTCTGCGCATCTGCCAGACCGGGTGCACTCCCTCTCACATGCTTCCCTGGGCTCCACCCAGAGGCTGCCCCCAAGAATGTAGCATGGCCCCTCTGCAGTGACCCAGGGTCCGTGGCTTCAGCCCACAGTCAAGAGCATAGGCAGTGTTCTCCCTTCAACCTTCCCAAGCGACTGGGCCCAGGCACTCCAAAGGCACAGGGCTAGGGTACAGGAGTCCACACGGGTGGGCCCCAGCAGGCAATGGAATTCTATCTCCATGCTACACAGGGGGCCTGGTGCATAAGGCAGGCCCAGGATAAGCCTTGGAGACTTGGTCAAGAGCCTCTGGACAGCTCCCTCCAATCAAGGCAGAAAAGAGTTGCATTGAGCCACTTCCATGAATGCTGGAAATGACCAGGCCAGGCCCTCCAGCTGAGCACCAGGATAGCTCTGCCCTTTCCTCTCCTCTCTCACAGGTACACATGCCGGCAGGTTCATCAGGTTCATCAGCTGGCTGGTCTAGGTCAGAAAGCAATGCTTGAGGTTGAAAGGGAGAACAGACAAGAGGCTCCCTCTCTAGAACTGGCCCTAGGTCCCCAGAAAGCAGTTCTGTCCGGCAGGTTCACCTGCCATCCCCTTCCCTCCCCTCCCTCCCATTCCTCCCCTTCCTCCCACCCCAGCTCAGAGGACACAACCTCCAGAGGGAAAAGAAAATAAATTCTGGAGATGAAACTGCTGGGACAGGTTCCGGCCACCTGTACACGCGTTTCTGAGTAAATCTGGCTTTCTAGCACCCACTCATCTCCTGAGACACCTGACCCAGCACCAAGAAGCCACGACTGGGCGGCTGAACTCAGCCTGACCCGATGCCCATCACCTGGGGGCAGCGCAGGGCTCTGTCACTTCTTAGGAGAGGAGTTTTCCAGGTTCCTCTGTGTCTCCTCCCACCTTACTGTCCAGTTCTGGGCTTGCTTAGTTGGGAAAGGGTGGGAAAGGGAGGGCGACGAGTTTCTCTGGAGGCCACAGCAGGGTCAATCCTGTTGGCCCCAGAACAGTGCCTGGCACACAGTGGGTACTCTTCAACTGCAGTGTTGATGGCGGCAGCAGGTGACTTAGCCTCTCCAAACCCTGTGCACGGTCTTCCCCTGACCCTTGTGGCCATGCTAGGACATTCCTGGTCACCACCGGCACGCTCCAATGTCAAGACTCTGCTCTGGACCACCAAGGCAACAGGCAGGGAGTGCAGGCAACATCCCTGCCCATCAATTCTACAAAACCCAGGCATCTGGGTCTCACGTATCTGGAGTGACTCTTGACCTTGAGAGGCCGGTCGCCCCGACTAGGCTGGCGGCCCCGCAGCTCCCCCGCCCCTTGCCCGCTGCCGCTCTCTCCCCAACCCCCCCGCCCCTCCGCCCGCCGCGGCGGCGGCAGACAGCGGCGCGCGCGCACACAACACACTACTACCTCCTGCATGACTCATCATTGAAGCAACAATAGGCAGAGAGAAACGAAAGGAGGGCGAAGCACTCTCTCCACCACAGCCGACCCTGCCGGGGGCTTCTGGGGAACAGAGGACACAGGAGTCCCCGGGTCCTGCACACACACCGTTTCGGGGTCAAGGCCCCGGCAGAAGCCTGGAAAAGGGAGGTCTTTTCCCACAGCCCGTCTTTCTGCAGCACCCTGAAGCCAGGGACCACCAATGGGGCGCGTGAAGACAGGAGGCATTAGTCTTTTCCCTTTCGAGGGAGAGCCGAAGTTTGCCCCTTCTCAACCTGGCTCATTCCAGGGTGGCCCCGGGTGATGCAAGGGGGGCCTGGTTGGAACGTTTTGGTGGTCAGTGAAAAATGAGAGCTCTAAACGTCTCGTCGCCCTGCGATTCTGAGGGTTTCCCTTGCCTCGGGATCAAACACAGGTTAGGGGAGAGAGCCGACAGGTGAGCCCGGCTCCTCCCACGCAGGGCAAAGGCTCTCCCTGGGAGGTGCCCAGAGGCCGGGGCCCGGGCCCAACCCGACGCAAGGCCCCTCGCAGCCCCGCCCAGGCCCCGCCCCCGGCCAAGCGCCAGGCAGTGAGGAGGGGCCGGGCCGCTCAGTCCCCAGCAGGAGTGTCCCCGGTGCACGTGGTCGGGGGCGGAGCCCGTCCACGTCACCACCCGGTGTAACCAACGGGCTTGGAACGCAGGCACACGCAACATTCCAGGCGAGAGCGGGTTTGGAACGCGCAGACACGCCACATTCCACACTGGCTAAAGCGGGGTGCAGCGAGGGGGGGGCCGGGGGCTGCCCCCCCAGCGACCCACGGGCCATTTCGCAAACGCCCAATTAGCCCGGCTTTCACGCAAACCCCGGACGCGCGGCCCAGCCCAGCTCTGGGAGGCGGGGTCAGGCGGGGCTGGCCAGGATCATAAGACACGCGATGTCATTTCATTCTGCAAAGGCCGCCTCCGCCCCAAGCGGCGCGTAGATCTGCCGGGAGCGCCCCCCGCACCCTCCCCATGGGGCCAGGGAAGCCGAAGAGCTACTCGGCGTAGAGTAGTCCCCACCCCCACTCCGTTACACACACGCCCACTCGTGTGCTATACACACGCCCGTGTACACGTCCGTTCATCTGCTCTTCCCGAGGCTCACATAACACATCCCCCGTGCACACACGCACGCACACGCGAGCCTGCCACCCCCACGCAACACCATTCCTCACCCCACCCCCCGGCTCACACATCCTCAGCGCCTCCGAGGGCTCCGCCGGCCCACGCAAAAGCAGACCCCGCAGAAGGGGCACGGGGTGCCAGGCAGCCAGGGTGGCGCCTGCAGGAGCCGGGTCCCTCGCTGCATGTTAATGAATTCATTAATTAATTTCAGTGCCCACATCACCCCTCCCCGGGCGGCGGCTCTCGCGGGGAGCCGAGCGCTGCCAGGCTCCGCAGGCCGCCCGGGAGGGGGACCTGTCCGCGGTTCCGCCTGAGTTCGGGGACCGGGGTCACTCGCTTCCCCTTCCCCGGTGCCCCAGGGGCCCAGCCCGGCCGCTCACCACGTGCTCTCTGTTGTTGCTGCGCTTGCCATTCCAGGAAGCGGGCCGCCTCCAGTAGCGTCTCTATGCTCATCGCGCCGAGAGCCGCCGGGGGCGCGCCGGGGCCGAGGCTGCGGCCCGCGAGCCGGGCACAGGTCAGGCTGGCGGGCAGGCAGGAGGGAGGGATCACCTCCGGGGGGCGACAGGGCTGGGCGGCGCAGCGCACTCCGCAGGGAAGAACGGGGGAGCACGGGGAGAAAAATCAATGTCTCTCAAAAGATTTGCAAAATATAAATTTCCAAATTTTAAAAAATGGAATGCAAAAAAAAAAAGAGGCGGCACTGCCTCCCTTCTTCCCCTCCCTCTCTACCTCCCTTCCGATGCCTCCCGCCCCGCGGCCCCCGGGAGTCCCGCCGACAAGAAAGGGCTTTGCAACAAGATGGCGAGGAGGCACCGACACACACAACAAGGGAAGGAGCCGCGCTGCCCCCGGCCGCCGCCCCCGCTACTACACCGGGGCCGCAGCCAAAGCCCGGACCGGAGCCCCCGCCCGCAGGGCCGCGGCGCCTCGCGAAGGGAGGGGCGGGTCCTGCCCGGCTGGCCCCGCCCACCAGAGCCGGCGCGCGCACACGTGGCCCGGGCGGGGAGGGAGAGGTCTGAGCGGGGTGTGCGCGCCGCCGTTCCGCTTTCCCGCTGGCCCCGCCCCGGCTGCGAGCCACAAGTTGGGCTGGGGCGGCGCGTTTGGGTCATTCACGACGAAATCTGTCCTGCTGGAGGGAGGGAAGGCTGGACAATTCAAGACTTAACAGAGCTCCAATCAGGATATTCCGGCTTAGGGAAGTCTTGGGAATGGCAGAGACAGGCCTGACCCTGGGTCTCCACGCTCCACCCACTCGCGACCTAAATCCCGCAATCGCCAGGCTGTCGCAATTCCCCCGGGATCCGCCCCTGGGCGGAGCTGCCGGCGGCTGGATACTGTCAGAGAACCAACGGAGGGAGCGGAGCGGTAGTCCGGCTCCGCGTTTTGTCTCCGTTCCTCCCCCCGCAGTGCGTTCGCATCCTATTAGGCGACGTCACCGGGCCGCGGGCCAATGGGCGGGCAGGACAACACGGCATGGAGCAGCTCCACATGGACACCCCGCGCCGCCAGCCTTCGGTTTAAAGGGCCAGTGTCTGCTGGTCCATTCGCGGGTGAGGATGGGGCCACTGAGCGAACCCAGGGTGGGACGCCGTAAGGGGAATCCCGCAGTCGTGCCCCGGCCTTCCCATTCCTTTTCGCCACCCTGCATTTTAAAGATAAAACCAAGCCTTTATCTTTCCTTCCCGTGAACTCCAAGCTTTGTCCACGCGTATTCGATGTGGGTGGAGACACGGACTGTGCCACCCCAGGGGCCACCCTTTGCTCTGGGGCCGGAGAAAGCGCCCGCAGCCTAGGCGGGGAGGGCGGGCCCGAATAGGGAACAACGTGGAGGGCGGAAGCCCGGCCCTCCCCGCGCCTGGCGACCGGCGGTGGGCGGGGCGCGGGGGCGGGGTCTGCTGCGTCCGGCTGGAACCGCGCTCCCCGGTGGGCGGGACCCCGTCGCCCGCCGCCCGCTTCCTCCCGGCGCAAGTGTTTAGGGGCGCCCGGGTGCAATCGGAACGTCAGCTCTTTGAGGCAGGCTGGCCCTAAGTCCTCTCACTTCACAGATAAGGAAACTGAGGCCGAGACGGGCAGGGACTAGTCTAAGGTCGTTCCGATTGCCACCTGCTCCTCTCCGCCGTGGGGAAGTCACTTCTCCCTGATCCCAGGGACGACTCTGAAGCCAGCTCTGGGAGGAGGACCCCCAACTAGAAAAATGCCAGGGAGGAATGGCAACCCTGACCACTTAACACACTGTGACTGGGGCAACAAAAATCTTCACCTGAGACCCAGCCCTGCTGTTCTGCTTCCTCGGTGGAAGCCACACGAACCCACTGGTACAGCGGCAGCAATAGACACAGGGCGGCTGAAAGCTGATTTGGAGCTTCCCGGAGCACGTCGATTGTGCTGTGCCAGTGCGGGGGGGTACCCCTCTGTTCTGGCCCCAGGCTCCTTTCTTTGCTAACCCATGCAAGAAGAGGGGGACAGTCAGTGGCAGTGGGTTCAGGACTCCACAGCCGCGGCTTCCTCGTCACATATAGCCAGAAAGCAAAGCATCATGAGGCTGAGAGGCAGGCCAATTCATTCCATCACATGGCACCCTCGGAGCGTTCCTATTTTGAGGACTGGTTAGAAGAGAGCTAGAAACATAGAAAGCGGGCCTTTAAGGGCATCGTAATGCATCCTAGGGGGAAAAAACCTGCAGATACTGGCAATCAAGGACTTCGTGAACCAGAGGAAGGGGGCCGTTTGTAAGCCCTAGTCTACAGGGGCCTCTGATCTTTTCACATTTACTGCCCCTGCATCTAGAGCTGAGCATGGGGAGGTCGCCACACACACATGTCCAGGTAGGTACCACTGACTGCTTATAATGAAGCTGGAGCAAGGCGGATTGGAACGGAACAGCTCAGTTCTCCACGAGATGCGTGCCCCTTTCCTGGAAGGGCTGGGTCTGTGCTGGCTAAGGTGTCTGCCACTTGCTACCGGTAGGGCTGGGCCTGGCCCGTTCTGCACAACTAGAGAAAATGGGAAATTCAAAGGCAATGTAACATATAGACGGCAGTAGTACGGGGACTCTAAACGGTACTGAGGCCGTCCCTGGCTTGTGATGGCTCGACTTTTCAGGTTTACAATGGTTGCAAAAGCGATAATCTAGCGGGCACTCAATTTGGGGTGGGGTTATGGTGGTAGGTGGAGGAGTGCCTGTACATAATAGTGACCCGAGATAATGCTGTTGGCCCAGTTCTTATTTTGTGTGGGGTTAGCACCATGGCAGGTCGTGCTCCGGCCAGCCCTCCCTACCGTTCTTAGGTGGCCATACACTCACAGCCCTGGAGTTTCTGCTGAAAGCTGAGGTCCAATTTTTTTTTATTCTTCTTCGTCACTGGCCAGCTCTAAACCAGTAAGGAGGCACCTCTCTGAAATGCAGTATTCGGAAGGCACTGTTTGCTTCAGGGGTGAGGGAGCAGATGAGAGTCGAGTGAGCAGAGATTTGAATGCCAGCGTCTCCACTGCCCCAATACCCCATCTGCTCCAGAGCTTAGTGATGTTTGCTATTTAAAACAAACAGCCTTACTGGCTTCACATGATCATCTGTTTATTTGGGTCATGTGGGGACAGCAGCCAGGGGATGTTAGGCAAAAACAAGGGTTTAGAAGGGAGGCTGTGGCCGGACGCGATGGCTCACGCCTGTAATCCCAGCACTTTGGGAGGCCAAGACGGGTGGATCACTTGAGGTCAGGAGTTTAAGACAAGCCTGGCCAACGTGATGAAAACCCATCTCTACTTTAAAAAAAAAGAGGCTGTTTCTGGGCCTATTGTTGCCTACAGGAGCCTGAAAATGGCCAAAAAGAATACCTCATCAAGCAAGCTTTCCCACGTGGGGAATGGACAGTGCGAGTGGGAGATACCTATGAAGGGAGATGGGAGGGGAATGAATAGGAGGGCTGTTGAACATTTTAGCCCCAGCTTCCTGGGGGTGGAGCCAGAATAGAGGCTGGCAACTATACTCACTCCAGAGAAAGAGAAACAAATCTTTTTTGGTTTCAGCAGAAAGGTTAGCAGGTTTGGGGAATTATCCAAAGGCCACCAATCTCCAAAAGGTGTTCCTTAAGTTTTTCTTTTTTTTTTTTTTTTGAGACAGAGTCTCACTTTGTCACCACAGGCTGGAGTGCACTGATGTGATCTCGGCTCACTGTAACCTCTGCCTCCGGGGTTCAAGCAATTCTCCTGCCTCAACCTCTGGAGTAGCTGGGATTACAGGAGCATGCCACACACCCAGCTAATTTTTGTATTTTTCGTAGAGACGGGTTTCACCACGTTGGCCAGGCTGGTCTCCAACTCCTGACCTCAGGTGATCCACCAGCCTCGGCCTCTCAAGGTGCTGGGATGACAGGCTAAGCCTCCATACCCAGCTGTTCCTGAAGTGTTTCTAGGTGCTTCACCTCTGAGCAGGAGAATACCTAGGCTACCCAGCATTGTGACTTTTTCATGAGAAGATTTCTGTTTTCAGTCTTCCTCCTCAAGTCTCGTGCACCCCCTGCCCAGTTCGAATTCCATTATGTCCTCCAGTTTTTGAATCTTTTATTCTTATTCACCAGTCACAATAAGAAGCACCAATTCAGGCTGGGCGCGGTGGCTCATGCATGTAATCCCTGCACTTTGGGAGGCCGAGGCGGGCAGATCACCTTAGGTCGGGAGTTCCAGACCAGCCTGACCAATATGAGGAAACCCCATCTCTACTAAAAATACAAAATTAACTACGCATGGTGTCATGCACCTGAAATCCCAGCTACTAGGGAGGCTGAGGCAGGAGAATTGCTTGAACCTGGGAGGTGGAGGTTGTAGTGAGCCAAGATCATGCCACTGCCCTCCAGCCTGGGCAATAAGAGTGGGCCTCCATCTCAAAAAAAAAAAAAAAAAAAAGAAGAAGAAGCACCAGTTCTCCAATTTTTTAATATGCTGAGCCAGAGACATCCCCTCCGTGAAACTGTCTTCCTTCCCAACCCCTAACACTCACCCAACAAGCCATGAACTCCAAGAGCTATGAAAACCAGTTCCCTGACCCTATAAAGCCGTCATGAGATGGGGGAAAGGTGTGAAGCCAACAGCACAGATGATCACACTAGATCCCGGAAGGTGTCTCCCAGCCCTTCAAGCCCTGGCGGCTCATCTTTTGCAAGCAGCTGAGGAGCTTTTCACATACCATCATTAAAACAAGGCCCAAGGGAAAGAGCCAGCTACGGGATGAAGAGGAAGAAACAGAAGACCAGAACACTCAAGACACACCAGGGAAGACCCGTTTCATAAAGATTTATTGTGTGCCTGACATGGTATGTGGTGGGACCGCTGGTAAGCCCGAGTGGGGTGATTGCAGAGTGGAACTCCACTCCACAGTGAGACCTGCAAAAGGTTAGTTCGGCTGTCCCTGCCGTGCTGGACGCAGCAGCAGAGACAGGACTACACGAGGACCCAGAAGACACTGCCGTGCTCATTTTAGATGTAGCCGGCCTTCTGTGTCCACGGGTTCCACCCCCATGGAGGCAACTAACTGTGGATCAAAAATAGGAAAAAAAAATTACAAAAATACAGTAAGAAATAATACAAATGAAAAAACGAAACCAACACAGCAGAAGAACTATTTACACACCACTTACATAGTATGAGGCATTCGAGTAGCGTAGAGGGGATTTAAAAGATACAGGAGGATGTGCATAGGTTCCAATAAGGAATTTGAGCATCATCCGTGGACGGTATTCAGGGGCTCCTGGAACCAGCCCCCATGCGACAGTGAGAAGTGACTGTAATCATCTCTTTTTTTTTGAGATGCAGTTTTGCTCTTGTTGCTCA